TATAATATTTATAAATAATTAATAAAACAATTATAAATAAACATAAAATTTGCACATAAAATATTAAAAGGTAGTATAATATAGACAAATATTGACAGATATTACTGAAAGTATATAAACGGAATTATATCAATAGAAATCATGGATGGATTTCCCTCAATCTCCTTCTCTCTCTCAAAAAAAAAAAAAAAAAATTTGAAGAGAAATTATTGTGGAAATACTCTCGAATTTTTCATCGCATTCCTGAAATGCTTACAACTCGCTCGATCAGTCTCGATCGTGATTCTCAAAAGAGAGTAATGTTACGCTCAAAGGGGATCACATCTAGTCAGGTATCCCTTTCTAATCACCCTGCCTCCTCTCTGTTCACGTCTTGGTTTCGAAATCGCTTTGCATCGCCCTTCGTTGCAATACCCGTTCCCTCGTCGAATTCCGTTTCTCGCCGATCGGCGGCATCCAATCACGCTAAAACGCCTGGAATAACATTGAATCGTCCCGAAGTTGCTGGTATAAGTAATACGTGTAACAGTAGTACCGTAAATTTACCTGATTATTTTAAGCAATCCATCGTTCAGGGTAATAATTGGAGACGCTTCTACCAGATTTTCTAAATGGAAATTATATATACTTAATGTCTTATATATACAATTTTAAAAATATTTTTTGCTGTTCGTTATTTCCTATCAGTTTCAAAATTTCACGTTACATATAGTAATGTCTAGTTTTCAACGTAATAATTCAACGTAAGTAAAAATGATAGCCAGCCTCTCTCTCAAAAAATAGTGATAAATACTATCAAAGTAGTCGCGCCAAGTTGGAGAATATGAAATGTAAATTGGATGGCGAAGCATAAGCTATTGGCATTACGAAATTGCTTTTCCCGGGATATCGAAAGGATTGGACGCCTCTTTCTTGTTACCGATCGCCGCAACTGGGTCGCCCCGTCGCCAATCGGGCTCTATTATAATTAGTTTGGTGCGGATAAACGCGATGCAAACCGCACTGATCGATCGAAGCGCAAAAAGGCTCCGCGCCGCCGTGTCGTATAATCAACCGTTAAGCTTAATACGACTTGGCAAGAAATATTTCTCTTAATAAGAAGCTACTTACTTCATAAGAAACTTCTATCTATCAGTCGGTGCATAAAGGAAGCTATAATCAATATCAAATTATGCATTGGCGGATTTTTTGGATAGGAATAATAAATGAATTGATGATAGCAAACTTTTTCTTGTGTATTCGAGAGCAGCGAAAGATAGATTTTAATGAATCTAATATGGTTTAGCAAAAAATTATTAAGTCTCTTTTTCTACTTTTCTTTCCTTTTTTCTCTTTCTTATACATGAAAGAAATGATGAAAATATATTAATCATTCGAATAATAGGCATATACGCGAGTGGTAAAAATAATAAGTTTTTACAAATTTTATTCTCTCTTTGTATTACATATTTAAAATGTTTTTCTTCTCTACAAAATAATTTACTTGGAAATTCATTAATTTGTTACAACTTTTCACGACATTATTTATGAATTAGTTTCATTTGCAGAGAGAGAGGACAAATATTTTATTCCATCTACGTCAAATGCGCAATCGTTAATCATCTATTATTTATTAATTATATTAAAATCATTTTTTATTTAATTAAAAATATAAATTTTAATTGTTTCAAATGCATTACGTGACTTAATTATAAACTAATTTTTACTTTAGCTTAGTTCCTTGAGAATAAATGTATGAAAGGCATGTCAAATAAAAAAAAGCTTGAAGTTCTTTCTTATTTTTCGCATCGGCTGTCGATATTGAATATCTTGATATGAAAAGGCTCCATAATACTGGTTATAAGATGGTTTTAACCGATGTTCAAAGCCGCGTGTTATCGGACACCTTTCATACCGATACTTTTTTATAACGAAACTCCTTCATAGTGGAGATTTTTTTTACTTCTGCACCTTATATTATTAATGGTTTACCCTCGAGATATTACATTAATATGGCAGATACTATTAAACAACGTTTGCAAAGCGGTATTACTTATGTCAACAAAAGTAACAATCTTTTTGAAAATAATAGGAAAAGAGAAGAACACATTTCTCTCTCTTAAAATGTTTGTATAAATATTTAAGTTATAAAAAATAAATTTATTTTTATGACTTTACATCTTTCGATATTTTAAACCAATAAACGTTGCATTAATAAATCAATATAATTAATACTGTCGTAATCACTTCGCGAGCTCGTGATTACGAAATCGCGAGTTTCCTATCTCGCTTGGATTAAAATCATCATTATCCGAATGATCGCGCGAGATAACGCGATTTTACGTTCTAGTTGCGACGTAACTTCCTATTACGCGAAAGTCCGACAGTGTCACGGCAGTGTCCATCACTTTAATCCTCAACACGGACGAGGATAAGAGGGAGAGCGATACATTTGCATCGCGCGCGTGTTTAAGTACACCCTCGAAAGAGT